CTGCATGTACCCATCTGTTCCTCTTCATCCACGAGCCGGCCTCGCGCGCATTCGTGCTGGGGATGGAAAGCGGCTTTCGCTTTGGATCTTCGTTCTCCGCATGTCTCCATAATCAAGTCTGTCGTTCTAGAGTGTCCCGATCAATCTTGTTGCTACTTCCTGTTAGCTCATTACTTCTAAAACTCAACATTTCCATTACTCACCTCAGGCGGAGGCCCGACAGGCCTGACCATGCGCTCTAGTAACTGTAGTCGGGTCTTTTCGCGCGGCTGTCCCAGTCCGATGCTCATGTACTGTAGAAGAGGCGGGTGGCCGACGTAGCTCGAGAGCGAGTCGCGCGCGATGTTGGATGTCCATTCGTGCTTGGTAGTGTCTGCGCTTCCGATACCGATGTAGCGGGCCTGGAGAGCCTCGAGTTGTTGCTGCGCGCGCAGTTTGTCAGCCATGATGTACGGAGTTCGGTCGGTTGTTTGGAGATGTGCGACTGGGTTGGTGTTGGGCTTGGTAGGCAAAAGTTGGGCGAGTCGCGACCGCGGAGGTGCTGCGGAACTTGGGCTTAGTCATGCGGCATCAGCCCCATCATCGCGACAGCCTCGAGACGGATCCCCTCAATTCAACAAACTTCGGATCGCAACACCTTGCTTCTCTCCATCACGCGTCGCATGGCTAATTACAACCGCGAAGACGACAACATGAGCAACCACGACACGATAATGGGCAACGCGCCCCTCACACCACGCGACGAGCCCGAACTCACATCCCCCATGGTCGACTTCTCGCCATCCACAGTACAATACGACGAGGCGTTTGAGAACAGTCTAATGGAAATCATCCTCAACCCACCACCCCAGCCCTCGCCGCGAAAACCTTCAGACGAGATTCCCACAATCTCCGCATCGCAACTGCCCATCTCGCTCTCCTCCCACCTACGTACACATCCTTCCGCCGTACCGGGGCTTTACATGACGCACCAAAACGGATATCATACAGGTGGTCCAGGGCCATCACCTCACACTATCGAAGAATTCGCGGACCGCTTCATTAGAGAGCATGGCATCGAGGATGCGGGGCAGCTGGAGAGGGTGGTGGAAGATGTTGTGAGGCACAAGCTGGAGGAGGCTAAGCAGAGGATGGAGAAGAGGAAAGAGCTTGTAGAGAAGAACAGAGGGATTGAGAGGGAGTTGGAAGATCTCAGGCTGCAGAGGAGTGCCGAGTTGAGGGTCATGGAGAGGGTCAAGGGGAAGAGGAGATGAGAACTGAGAGTCACTGTGCCTGTGGATGTTGGAGTCGCTGTGCTAGGTTGCGATGGAGTTGTTATGATACCCGACATTGGAATGTCAAAGTTTTTGGGGGCGCTGCGTTGAGTCCCAGGTGAGCGAGCTATTGTGCACAATAGGGCAGGACCTCGATATTGGATATCGCTATGCGCACACGTCAGATGTTACTATGGCTGCTGTTCCCATCCAAGATAAGAGCACATGCCATGATTGCCATTAAAGACGTACGAGCATTGCGCGTACAATCTCGTAGATAGACGAGTAGACCCACGATATCCCAGCTCTCAGTGGTGACAACTCAAGCATAAATTAAATGATGCGCAGAGCACGCGCATCGCCCTAACCCGGTGCCCAGGCGACCAGCGACTGCACCCTGAACCGGGGGACGAAGCTACCCGACCGATCAGACTGCGTCAGTCCGCGGCATAGCAGAAGCTATGGCCAATAGCGTCATACCTCGACGATCATCACTGCAGCTTCCATGGACACACAGGACCCTTGATCGTCTATGCCGCGTGGTTTCGCGGGTCATCTGCTTCGCCATCGCGATCTGCCCCTGGGGCTACCGCTACAGTCAGGACTATGTTCTTGCTTCCAGCATGCGGGGGTGGATACCAGCCAACCTTGATTTTTGATCGCACTTTCTCAACTCTACTTTCGCGCTACATGTGACAGGACCGTCGCTCCACTACAACCACCACCAACACATGTGCACGAACTTTTATTGAGTGCCTAATCTACAGACAACTGAGCAGAGCTGTACTGCGACACACCTCCAGCCAAAACGCCAACATGGCAGACAAACTCGGGAGTCTGGCTTGGAGCGGTTTCAAACTTGGATTTGGACTGTTCAGCCTTGCCGGAGTATGGACCATGGCAGTCATCAAGAACGGGGCGCTCTGGGCGAAAGATAGCGACGAGGAGAAGCGCGCGTTGGCTGCTGCGCAAGAGAGTTTCTGGAGTCTTGACCGAGAGCCTCTACCAGGTTTCAAGCATGCCTTCTACAAAACCACCAACGGTACCCGCCTGCACTATGTCGTTAACCAGGACACTGGATCATCACCGCCGAAGAACGTTACCATCTTTCTACATGGTATGTGTTCTCTTAGCAAAGTCATGCAGGTACCAAACTTTAATGGACTACGCAACTAACAAAGACCAGGATTCCCCGATTCTTACCTCATCTGGCGCCACCTCCTCCAATCCGCTTCCCTACAAAAGGACTCCATCCTGATAGCCGTCGATCTCCCTGGCTATGGCGGCTCCGACAGTCTGTCCGCATACGGCCCGAACGAAATGCTCGAGGTGTTGAGCGAGTTCATTGTCGGCATACGAGAGCAGTTCCTGTCCGAAGGCAAGAAGGTAGTGGTAGTGTCGCACGACTGGGGTGCGGTCATTGCTGGCCGGCTGGCTTCCGAGGCACATGTCCTGGCTGACCACTGGATCATCACAGGCGGCGCCGTCACAGCTCTACTACACTCGAACGCGATGAACAGGATTCTGTTGGCGAAGCAAATGCTGAGGACATGGATACACTCTCCGTTCAACTTCCGTCTGCTGAAGAATGGATTACACGCACTCGGCCCTGTGGCTGGACAATTCCGAAGCTCTTTCTACATCTTCGTATTCCATCTACCCTGGCCTCTTCACAACGTCTTTGCGACTTTTGGCAACTACTTCTTCCTGCGTGTTCTCCACCAGTTCGGCAAAGGCACACCGAAGAAGGGCAAGGATCCTACTGTCCTGGAACCTACGGAAGCTGCTGAAGCAATGGCAATCTCTACTGGCCCCGGAAGTGCCCAGCTAGACAAGGCGAACGACAAGGGTGAACGATACGGCGAGTCTGTCAAGAGCAGGATAGATGACCGCGGCATGTCTGAGAAGATCCGCATCTATCGCGACAGCCTGGCTTTCGGCAAGTGGGAAAAGTCGCTTGAGGTTACTGCCGCACTGTACAACATCTCCTCTGAAGCTGCTTCTTCTCAGACCTTGTCCACATCAGGTACCTTGTCCAGCATGGCACCACAAGGCGCACTGAAGGCCCCTTCGACACTCATGATGGGACAATTTGACCCTGCATTCAATCAACGGCTCTCATTCGACAACGCCCGCGACTATCTGGTCAAGGGAAGTCAGGTCGTGATTATCAAGGGAGCAGGCCATTGGTGAGTTAGCCCGAACACCACTATTGAAGGTGCATCTGCTAACATTGAGTAGGCTACCCCTTGAGCACACAGGTAGGCGTGCGATAGAGAAGACCCTGCAGTGGGCCTTGCAAGGTACGGGAAGCGAGACGATACCCTTTGAAGCGATGAGCGATGTGCGCATTCTGGAAGCGTTGTAAGAGACAGCACGAGTGAGATGTACAATTAGGTACCAGAAGAATTCCACTGTAGTCTTCAAGATTTTAGTACCTCTAATACAGCGTTTGCTCTTCCCTAACCTGGAGCGCACAGCCCTAAGTTGAGAAGGCTTGGCAACTACTGTAAACAACACCACCCACTTCTTCGCCACTTCCTCACACACTTTACCTTGATTTCGAACGTCCCAGGATCTAGGTAAGGATACCGCATCATAAAGATCTACGAGGCTCACGATCACAGCAGTGAGCGCGGATTCTTGAGTGCAGGCAGTCTGCGCGTTAACACAACTTCAAGGTGAGTGCTCGTCTACATCGTCCGCGCGATGGCTCATTAACCATTGTGTTCTACTTAAAGGCTAACATGGCCTATAGATCCCTCTTCGGCGCGAAGGAAGAACCATGGACGAGTCCACCACTGAACCGCATACTACCTTCCACGGCTGGTCGAGGCTCCCAGATGAATTGAAGGTGGAGATCTTGGCTCATAATCTTGATCAGAAGGACGGGATCAATCCAGCTGCACACACTCGTGTCTTTGCAGAACAGCTTACGTCCATCATCGGCACTCGGAACCGCAAATTCACCGCACTCGCTTTGGAGACGTATTATACGCGAAACGTGTTTAACGCTACTATCTACAGAGACGCGGAAAAGAAGTGCACATATGTGCAACATCCTCCGGCAGCCTACGGACATCTCATTAGGAAGATGGAACTACTAGCGTACAGCTGCCACTGGTGTATGCTGTTTCCAAGACGTCTACTCACTGGATGGTCGGCGATGCGTTACATTCTCAGCCTCAAGTTGCCGCCCGTAGGAGATGTCGCCCTCGATCTGTTTGCTCTGTTACCGCACGATGGCATCCTTATGCCGACCCTCTGGCAAGCGAGCTTCATGCATCTACAATCACTGGAACTCAAATTTGAATGTCCGATGTTTAAGGCAGTTGCAGGCCTCACAAGCGATGGCGAATGTGCTCACTGCCAGCTTACTACTGGTCAAGTCGAGAAGGTCCTCACTGCGGTAGAAGAGATGTACATTTCGTTACAGGCCGCGAAGACCACCGTTGTTTTCACCTCGACCTGTCACTGTTTCACTCGTCTAGCCCACGTGCTTGCACGAATGGCGACGAAGTCGGACAAGTGAGGAGGAGACCGCTGACAACAACGCGATCAATTCGGACACCATTAAAGATGTTCGAGAAGTTGAATGGGGCCCTCATCAACGTGAGCTTTCATCGCATTTCGCCCTGTACCACAAGCCTGGAACCAGCATACATAGAACCACAAACAGCCAGATGCATATCTTAGTATGCACAAAGAATCGAAAATGATACAAAACTCCAAACCATATCCACCCTTTCAAAGGCCATCTGTCCCCTGTCTACTAACCCCAAACATGGGTACAGCACTGTCACTAATACCCTGAACCCGCTCGCTCACGCCGCTTGCCTCCATAGCCCGTGGACTGCCCATTGCAGGTGTGTTACTAGGCCAGGCCCACAGCGCATCAAAATCAATCTGCTCATCCTGTCCACTTTCCTCGGAATGCAGACTGGGCACACGCGTTGCTTCCAAAGCAGATAGATCGAGCATTGCTGATAGCGAGGGCGCTCTCGAGGCCGATGTATACGATGGCGTGGCCATGTCTACCGGCGGGGGCTCTTGGATAGGAGACAGATGGACACTAAAGTCTTCTCCTGTGGGAGCTGGGCTGTGCTGGACGTTGCCATGGTGTTGATTTTGACCGAGATTATGGTGTTGCTCAGAGGCTTGATACGTCAGTACCGGTTCGTTGATCGGCGCTGTCTGCATGCCGGGATATATGTGTACGGGCACTTGGTGGAGTCGTGGTGTTGCATCCATCGGGTTTGATGCGCGCGCTGAATCGGGTGCCTGGGGCGCAGAGTTACGTTGTTGCTGCGGCATCTGCCTGCCATAGAGTTGTGATGCGATGCTGGGTAGTGTCGCATTACTTGTTGAATCCTGTCGCCGGCGTAGTCGTTGCTGTGCGACGACGTCTCGGAAAGAACTCAGTATGTATACTAGACGGCTTGCTTGTTGATCGCTCTCAGCGCAGTAGTTCATGACGTTAATAGCATTGACAACGCAGTTGTCCGTCAGTTCGATCTGGTATAGGCCGGCGAAGTCGCTTGCAAGAATGACGAGGGTGGCTGCGAAGAGGAAGTAGATAACGGCTGGGTTGCGTCGGGACAGATAGCCAGCCTCGTAAGCGTTCTGTATGAGCAGGATGGTATGCACGGAAGCGATGACACATGCCTCGCTGAATCGCTCCATGCGGTGGAAAGGTCTTGGCCCTCTCGATCCAGATTGTTCGACATGCCGTTGGGTTTCTTTGTTGAGTATGTACAGCAAGAAGGGTCGAGTGAGAAGGATGACGGAATGGCAGTAGAATAGGTTGACGTGCAAGATGGCCACGCCTTGACTAGGCGAGGCAGTTGCTGCTTGTCGCCATTGCAAGATGGGCGTCAGCAACCGGGGCCATGTCTTGCATATGTCCGATATCTCTTGGGCGAGACGAGTGCTGATCTTGCGTTGCTGGTACACCCTCCGCAAGATGACGCCGATGACTCTGCAGCTTCGAACGGTGGCTTCCAGAGCAGGTGGGCCAGTCTCGTTGAAATCGTACACAGTCTTTGCGCTGAAGCTCCACGACTGGTTGCGAACACTGCTGTCGGGCGGGCGGAGTGTATCTCCCGAGCAGTCGTCTTCCGATATGGCGGTCGGACGACCAAGAGAGCAAGACAGTAAACGATCCATCACGAAAATCGAACGCCAAAGGTCTTTTCGTTGTGTTTGTTCCTCGGGGCTAAAGATGACCATGGTCTCTTCTCTGTGGAGACCGAGCGCAAGTGCAGACCGTACGGCCATCCCAAGCAAGGCAAAAGCAGTGTTTCGCTTGCTTTTGGCCAACATATAATATGACATGAGAAGCAGCGCTTGGACAGACCAGAAATCCTGATCCTCCAATCCTGTCATCGGATCGTTCATGTTCCTAGCATTCAGATAGAAAGCCTCGGCTCTGTCGAGGTGTTCACTGCGAAGTTTGTCGATTATCAGCGCCTCAGGGCTTCCTGAAAGCGGTGTCGCCATGGTGAGGCCGATGGCGAAAACGAGGTTGAGCAAGCATGACCAAGATGTATCGACAGAGAGCGGATCGGAGTAGCAACGCTCTAGTTTCTCAAGAAAGGAGTCACGTCGGAAGACCTGCAACAAGCCGTGGGTATTGACGAAAAAGGCATCCACCAGCACGCGTGCCGTTCGCTCGTCTGGGAGTAGACTCGACTGTCGATATCCCAATGGAAGTGAGTATTGGCCTTCGACTATCTTGTGACGGCGAGGGTCAGTCGTAAACGGTGACGCGCCGGCTACCGTTTCAACCATCATCCGGAGGAGCTGAAGAAATGATAGGGTAGCTGCATCGCCAATGTATATCACTCGACCCGTTGGATCTTGTAACATGCGGCTCTGGCTTGGAAACTCCGCCACTTCATCTGTGCCATCATTTGGAGTGGAAGCGTGTGTCGGAGTAAGCCGGTCACGGGTGTTATCATGATTGACAGCCAGACGATCGATTGAGCTGTTTGCATGCTCTATACTGGGTCCTGGGCCGTGAGACTTGAACGGTACTTCTTGGTTGGCACTGAGTGTGCGTGTCAACAAATTTGGATGGTTGACAGACGACGTGCGGTTATGTAACGAAAGTGGCGTTGTTTGTGCGTGCTCGACAGCCGGAGTATTTACAGTCCGGTTGTCAGTTGGACTATAAAGTGAGCAGTCAGTGGATAGTGCTTCGGAAAGCGTCCAGGCATATAGCGATGGATAACGCTTTTGGAGGAGTGCAGAGTCCCATATACTTGGCAGAGTGATGAAATGCGAGATACGTACATCGAACTGTCGCTGTCATTGCCGCTCTCAATTGTACGTCTCTTTGCGGGTGGTCGGTCCTCGCCTGGAGAATTCGGATCTCGATCCGCGTATATGCAGGTAAACTTGCGCTATCTAAAGTCAATACATTGCAGTATGCAGTTGGGATGGGGGCCTAACCTTATCACATGTGTTGCAGGGGCACAAGCCGTTGCACTGTGATCTGTCAGTCTCGTATGCCAACTAGAGGGCATAGTTGCACGTGTCCGCGAGTCATCTTGCGAAGGAGCCGATGCAGATACTGTCCATGATTACAAAGCGTTCGGGTGAAGCATCGCCCAGCCGGACAGTTTCCTGTTGTATAACGTGATGGAGCCGCACAGCTAGCCGATGGCCTCCCGCAATGCCTCCACACGGCGATCGGTGAGCATAGCAACCTCAAGATGCTAGCGTAATGGCATGCAAGAACTAAGTTGCAGGTCGTGAACGCCGACAGGGGTCTGTGCCAAGTGCATCTGTAGCCGAACGCGAAAAACGTCGTGATGCAACAGTTGAGAAATTGAACCGACCTTCTGTTTTCTCCTCTTGCAACTTTCGCACGCCTGAGCGGTGCGCTGTCGTTGGTCTGCGACGCGTCAAATTAGCCGTGACCTCGGGAAGTCGCCAGTACGAGCGTAGACGAACCTGGTGGGACCTTGGGTCGCGTCATCACGGTATCGACTCCGCGGGTAGTCGCAGTCGTTATCACGTGCGAATCCGGATGGTCAATGCCTGGGAGTACATTGCCGACGCGACGGATGGATGAGCTGGTCGGAAGATGCACTCGTGGTAATGATGGAAGCGAGTCACGGAAGTCCCATAACGCTACGCGAAAATGACGCGGAAAAGGGCCCCGCAGCCTTCGCCGTCTGTATTGATGAGATGGAGACGATCACAGTAAGATCCTGATGGCCTTGCTGATGAAATTGGGTGACGAGTCCCTCGTGGTTGTCGCGAAGCTGCGAAGCTTGGGCTTCCCACTGTTCCGAAAATCGAGTAGCGCTGGACGTCTGCCGATCGTCATGAAATCGGCCTACAGACCCCAGCCCAGCCCGCCTTTAGACTCAACCCGTTGGTATGCATGCAGGACGCTCTTAGCCGATGCTGATAGCAAAGGTCATGACCGCATACGGTCAACAAGCTCGATATGCCGCTAATCAGCTTTTCAACGGCGAAGCCGTTACCACGCAACCTTACCTCGGGCCGTCTTTGGAAGGGCTACGAGTATTTACCCTGAGATTCCCTTTGCTACAATCTTGTACCGTTCTGTTTTGTCTTTACATTCTTCGAAATGGCGCCATATCTAGGATCTGACAATAGTCACCATCAAATTGCCACGCACGCCAACACATTGCTGGCGGGAACCACGGCAGCATTAGAACAATTACTCACCAAGGCGAAAGACAATCTGCCCAAAGAGTCGCTGCCACACATCGCCAATGTTAAATTCTCAACCGCAAACACCGGAAGCCCATACTTTCCCAGCCCACTGAAGCAAACAGAGGCCATCTCTGCGCTCAAGGCGGTTGAAGCAGGAGTTGCATCTGCCATCGCCGATCTACAAGATGCTCAAACGCCACGCGGTATCGCTGTCGATCTCGAAAGAGCCACAGCTTTTCTATTCTCTACCTATTTAGCCACGGTGGGCGGGTTCGATAAATCGGACGCAAGGGCTAAGAAGCTACTTAAAGGTTGAACTCACTGCCTCAGCTTGGCCGACGATTAATACTGACCGGGACAGACACCGACTTGCTTCAAGCACAATCTATCCTGTACCGCAGACTATCCGCAAACCTCTACCAGTCCAAGAACCCAGGAGAATACTTTCACCTTCATGGATCTCTTGAGGCAACCAAAGCGCTGAACATGATCGGTCTCGAAGGATCACGGCCTGATCTGACAGACTACCATGAATGCATCAAGGTCATCGAGGATCATGTCAGTCGATACACTGTCGATCAGCTCGAAGAGATGAATAAAGAGATTGGACAAGCTGGTGTGACATGCCTGAAGTGGGAAGATTTCCAAAAGACCCCACACGGACGTACACTTCTTCAGCAACCGCCTTGGAAGGTGGAAACTCTCGAAAGCGAAACTCCCGCGGCTCCTTTTCCGTTCAAGTCATCTACCACGCCCAAACCACAGATTCTTGCCGGTATCCGCGTTCTTGAACTGTGCCGGATCATTGCCGGGCCCGCTATGGGTCGGGGGCTCGCCGAATACGGTGCTGAGGTCATCAAAGTCACATCGCCGAACCTCTCCGACGTACCTTTCTTCCAAGTGGATGCAAACATTGGCAAGCATACCACCGACCTAAATTTGAAGGACCCAAGAGACCGTCAGACCTTCGAGGAGCTTTTACAATCGGCAGATGTGATTTTGGATGGCTATCGACCCGGAAGTCTAAATCGTCTCGGATATGGGCCCGAACAGCTCCTTCGTCTGGCCAGAAAGCGCGGCAAAGGCTTTGTCTACGTTGCCGAGAATTGTTTCGGTCATACTGGGCCATGGTCCTCACGTCCAGGCTGGCAGCAAATTGCAGACTGCGTGACGGGTGTGGCATGGGCGCAGGGTCAAGCAATGGGATTGAGTGAGCCTGTTGTACCACCTTTCCCCATGAGTGATTATGGAACAGGATGTATGGGCACCATCGCTGCACTAGTTGGACTCCACAGACGAGCAAAGGTCGGTGGAAGTTACCTAGGTACCACGTCCTTGGTTCAGTACGATATCTACCTACTCCAACTTGGACTCTACGACGACCGTATGATGGCGGAGCTACGGAAAGAACATGACCAGGAGTTCTTTCAGTTGCGACATCACGATTCGGTAGATGAAGTTGGAAAGAGAGCATTGAAGACAATGAGACGAACACATCCAGAGCTCTTCGAAGACCGACACATGCAGGAGTGTTACAGCAAGGGATTCAACGCCAATGTCAGGACTATCCGACCCGTGGTCAGCGTTGAAGGTTACTGGAACGGCTTCCTACGCAGCTCTCGTCCCAACGGTTTCGATAAGCCTACTTGGGAAGATTGGGAGATTGACGAAGCCTTATTACGGACTTGAAGAGGCCCAGCCATTGTTGCGTCATAGGTCTTTCTCATCCTACCACTTCGTCTTGAATACCCAAATTAGCGTTGTTGCACCTGTATATCACGTCCTCGTTTCATTTCCACATCTCGTTATCATCATTTTTTTTTCCAGCATCTCCTTGCTACTATTCCTTCACGATCCCGAACGCCCAAAATCGCGCCTCGGCATGATGTGTATTGTGCCCCACATCGCCCCACAGTGTCGTCGGAGTTTCCCAGGCGGACTGGTGCAGCTTCCGACATACCACTGCACGATGTAAGCACACGTGCAATGCGTCTGGTACATCCTTACGGTACCACCGGTTGAATATGATGTCGCTATGTGTACCGTCACGTCGCCTCGTACGCGATGCTCAAAGTAGGAAGAAGGCCCGGTCGGGGATGATACCTAGGTACGCTAGGACACGCCTTCCGTCGCGAGACTAGCTAGGGATACAGTCGCTCAACACCGAGACGGGCCGCTAATGCTGGGGAACGACGCCATGGGTCAGTGGAGAAAGCCTAGAAGAATTCTGCATAGCATTACCTCGGTGTACCCGTTGGCTCTCATTACCTAGGCATTGGTAAGCGGCGCACGTGCTACGTGGGACAAACGTGGGGTGCTGAGGTAAGTACCTTGCCGTCATGTCAAGCTTACTCAGGATCCCAGGTACTCTGTAGCCACGAGCTAACCACGGTTAGTATCTTTATACGATCCATGCTCAGACCCTTTGCAGGCGCACAAATTGTTGAACCGAGGTGCTTGCGGGTTGATTACATTTTGACTTTGCTATAGTGACGAGATTTGGCCGACGATGGTACCAACTGGATGGACAGTATGTTTATCGGACAATGCCTACATTACCGCTCTTTGTACCGTCCCGGGATTCAACAAAAATCACTCTTCGGCCTTTGATGCCGCCAAAGTCATGCTTTGCTACGAGCACTTTGTAACTCATTGACACTGCATCTGTCTTTTGAGCTAGCTTATATACAGTGTGAGAACACACAGGTCAATCGGACATCAGCATGATTTCAAACTAAGATGTTGAAACAGGCGGTGCTATTGGCATTGCGGAACTCAAACGCCATGATTCTACGACGGCATTTGAAGGACGAGTACCGATCCTGGCATACACCGGCAACCGGCGATCACCAGAACACTCGTACAAACCTTCGAATATGCCGGCTCGAAGATAGGACCGACAGATGTACCGCTACACTAGCTAGACTATGAGCCTGACCAGTATCCCAGCACTGCCTGAACATCATCATCATCGTTTCCAAGCTCGCGAGAATTCTCGGCATCTCTAGCTTAACGGTCTCCATGACACATACTCCGAGCTTGTGAGGACTCCACTTCACTGCAAGGCTAGATACATTTTGCGTTCTCATATCTCTTTTGCTCTTGCGTCCGTCACATCCATGAATAGCTGCAAGAGCTAGCCATGCAGACCCTGCTTCTAGCTTTGTATCGCAACCGTTTTCTTTCCTTGCTCTATAGGTTGCCCTTGTTGCCGAAGGCTCTTCTACGGTAGTAAATATGTGCCATCTCGTCTTCGGAGTCGCTACCGCCCTGCTGGCTGGGTTGCGCATGATAATCCGTTGCCGTAGTCAATAGCCGCGGCGCAGCCTCCAGACTGTCACTCACCGGGCCGCCGTAGTAGGGACGCTCTGCGTGATGTTCCTCATGTATTATGCGAGGTTAATGCGAGTTGCGCGTGCTTGGGCGGACTGGCGATCAAATTGAATGGCAGCTGCTGTAGGGGCGGTTGTCCGCCATCAGTTAGGTCTCACCGTCGGTTGGTGAGTGCCTCTGGGCGCAATGAAAACGGACGGCAGCCCGAGCACTTGACCATGAAGCAGGCGACCTCGTTAGCATTGAGTCTACGATCGCTCGCTGAATGTACCTTTGACCCAGCTTGAAGCGCCGCCTCGTCGCTCATCGCAGCCCCAGTCACTACGTACCTAGGTCCGCTGAGGGGCGTTGAACCACCTCAGTGAAGCACCAGCAATAGAGAAGATACATACCTAGGTATAGAAAGCCAGAGACTTCATGCTATCCTCAGACTCCTTCTATTTGCGCGGTCACCTTGCTGTCGACACTATTAGCTTCATCATGACTACCTCGTCAGAAGACCTTACGTTCTCAGGAAAGGCTTCACTTACAAAGTAGCTCACTTTCTTTGCTCTTACAGTCTCTCATTCTTGCAAAAGAGTAGCTTCAACTCTGGCTGACAATCAACTGTCATCAATGGATCGCTAGCTACAACCAAGGTGAGCCACAGGGCGCCCTGACGAGACTTGCAGCGACAATACCGCAATTTGTACGCTAGTACGGATACCCTTATACCCCAAACGTTCATATTGGCACTTCGATTTTCGTTCACGGGCGTGCTGTCCCCGGCTAGCGTTGCCGTGGTAAGTGGTTGCCTGGGCTCAACCACAACAAACGGTCACTCAAGCACCACATCCCCCCTCCACCTGAGCAACTCCAGCCGACGCAAGCAGCCCCGATGATCTGCCGGCCAGGCGCTAGTAGAGCATCACGTGATGCTAGCGCCGCCAAGCCCTGAGGGTCTACTTAGTTTGGCTACCTCCACGTCCACTACCATAACGCGCAATGGCCAACACATCAATTTGGAGCTCAGGTACCTTTTACCAAGTTTCAAGCTCTTCCTCCCTCATCCTTCTTCAGCCTTGACCTTCATCACCCTGGTTCATCATGGCAACATACATTCACTCATTCTACCTTGGCACTTGGTATACTTGAACACTTCTTCAACACCTTCGACCTTCTCCAGTACTACACCATCACATCATGTGAAGCCTTGCTTTGCTTCTATCTTCGAATACCTTCAGGCTACACCATCACATCTTCCAACTTCAGCCATCACCATGTTGGTATCCATCAACACTTCACTGGACGTTTATGTCGACTTCACTTTCCACCAAGTGCCAGCTGCTATAGCCTAGAAGCTTTCAAGGTTTGCTTCTTACCCCCTCTTCGTTGTTCATTAACATGTCTTCTGACTCGTTCAGAACAAAAACAAAGTAGGTTCTCCATTCTTCTTTGATCATCCTTTACTGACCTTCACCAGAACAATATCAACAACCTCTATCAACTTCAATCACCTCCTCCAATCATCGACTTCATCCTGGACATGCTGGACTTCCACGTTACCTCACTTCATTCCACACCAACACCAACCTCATCATTACTCTGGACCTCCAGCATGCTCCTTCGCATACGACAAAGCTCAAGAACCGATCGGACGAGTCCACCCATCATCGACTGAACCAATCTGCGACTACGACAGATTGCTTCGACTCTCCCTACCGACCGCGGCGCGCGACAATGACCAGATCGAGTGGTTGCGACGGGTGAGAGACCCTTACAAGATTGTGTTGTGCTTTTGGAGCGCTTGACGGCTTGTGGTTGTGTCAGGAGGACAGAGGGTCAATGAAAACTTGGTTGTTATACCTGGCCTACAACCACTACTGCGGTCTTGCGCACCCTGCTTACATACCACTGGCGTGCCTCGATGGGGTTCAGGTTGGCTTCGGCTGATATCAATGTGGTCACTGTTCGCAGAAGCATCCGGTGTGTAAGAGCTTTGGATGAGATCCTCTGCCGGTTGTTGGATTGGCGCACACTCGGCTGGTCAGTTTGGACTTGAAATGGTGGTAGGAGGTTTGGACTTGGTGGTGGTGGTTCTTCATGGGCTTTTCGATCTTTCATGGTCTTGGTAGTTTGAGCAAGGAATCTTGTTGGTCTTTGGGTGCAAGGAATGGCTTCTGGGCTGGTTTACTTCAGCGTTGGTTCTTCAAGGATATCTTCAAAGGGGTTTGGTCGTGGTTGGAATCTTTGCAGCACTTCATCAAATCAACATTTTGACTGCAAACTTTATCTTCTCTGCCTGTGACTAGTCTTCTCTTCTCACTTCCTCAAGTGTTAGTTGTTGCTGGACTACCTGTTGCATTGCGACAAGGTACATGGCCTTTCCCTCCTGCTCCGCGTTATCGCCTTCAATAGCTATTACGCTCCCGCCGCTCGTCGCCTTCATCACCGGGCCTCGCCCCCAATCTTCCCATCTCCACGCCCCAGGACCCCGAACATCCACTCCCCAATCTCCTGGCTCTCTTCCGGCTGCACAGGATAAAGATGACCCTGCTCCCAGTGTCTCACCACACTCTTCCCCTCGCCCACCTCATACCACCCGTCGATCAGTCCCTGACCCGCCCAATTCCACTCATCCTGCAGACCCTGTACATGAAAAGCCGGCAACCTAATCTTTCCCTCCATCAACTCCTTCCGTTCCTCCACACTCATCCCAAACGACGAAACCGCTGTATCAAGCGCCGCAGACGCAGAAGGCGGTATCAGCGGCGGCGGATACGACCCACAAACACTAAGTCCAAACTCGAAATCCAGATACGCAAGCCGCGATACATCGTTTCCCTTCTCAGCGAGTGCGCGCCGGATTTCGCAGCCTTTGAGGAGCCCGGCTACGACTTTGGTGCCTTGGGAGAAGCCGATGAGACCGACGACTTTGCCGCCGCTGGAGGTGATGCGCTCAACGGTGCTACGGACGAGGTCTTCGACTTCCGAGGGCATGGCGGTGGTGGAGTTGCCGGCTTTCATGTCGGAGATGGTGACGCTGGATTGCATCCAGCGTTTGAAGGGCCCGCAGCCTTCGAAGAAGGGGAGGATGCCTGGACCGGGCTGGGAGGGGAATGGTGCTTAGGATTGTTGTTAGCATGGGAGCGCATGTCAAGGGGTGGGAAGGTGGGTGGAGATGGGTTATGCATACCTTCCAGACTCTCGACTTCGAAATGGTCTTTGATCACCCTCATTAGTCTTGCTAATTGGATCGTGTGTACGGTCGCGTTGCTTCCTGAGCCATGGAAGGCTAGCAGTGTAGGCTTCACAGGTCCACCCATTCCTGCGAGTTTGGGTGCTGTGCTGGGTGTCATGTACGTGCCGTTCTCTGTTTGTGTTGCCATATTGGCAAGGTGTGGTGTAGGCCGTGGCTCGAAAACACTCAGAAATAGTCCCCCGCGAGGCTATCTATATCTCTTCGATGTTCCTCCTGGATCCCTGGCTGTAGGAAAGATAAATGCAGGGTCCGGTGCTGTTTTTCCAGATGGTGGGGGAGGGTGTTTGCTTCTTTTCGTCTGTTTCAGCGCGACACTTCATTTAACTCTTTCCTTCTTCTTCTCTTTCTAAACTTGGATAAACAATGAAACTTGCAGGTTTCGTTAAATGCTTTCTTTATATGGGTCGAAAGACATGTGCTTGGTAGACGTGGACAAGTGGCTGCTTATCGGGCCGTAAAAGTCGTCATTCGCCAAGGACGTGTGTATTGCTTGTATGAGAACAAGCGATCTATGACCGTCGCATTGAGACTGAGGCGCCGAGAAGTATCGTTGACAAACAAGAATGTGTATGCTGAGGTACATGTCTACATGCGGGATGTAAGGTCAAGACCGAGGATGCCTGTCCAAGTGGGGTCTAGTCAGAGGCGAGATGCGCCCATAGATTACGCACGCGTTCGCTCATCGCATGGTTCATAAATTGAGAGCACCCATTCAAGATGCGTCAACTCATTGTTTGGTTTCTCATTCGAGTTTGCTATTTGGCAATCGTTTGTCTCGATTTCGGTACTCCCTCTGGAATTTCATAGCCCGCATTTGAACTACGCCTTTGCTCACTCGCTAATAGTACTTCATAGGAAGGATAAAGGGAAGAAGAGAAAAGACAGTAACGCCATTTACCCGTACTCAGACTCAAAAGTTTGTTGTACCAGCCCTAGGCAGTGTGTTCGACGAACCACTCGAACCTTTGCTCCTCGTTCCACTCATCCCGGAGCTGACACTCGTTCTTGAGCTTGCCCTCACTCTACCCTTATCCCCCTCCTTGATTGACCTCAGAATCTCAATGCCCTCGGGAGTCTTTCCCAACCGAGATACGAGCGTCGTGTTTTCATGTTGCAGGTCACCAATCTGCTCCTTAATCAACTTGTTCTCCTGCTCCAGTATCTCCACGCGTTGCTTGAACTCGTCCCGCTCGCGTTGCGCTTTGGCAAGTTGGTTCTTATCTGCTTCCTTCTGCTGGCGAAGGAGCAGTTTCCGTGTCTCCTTCTCGCGACGCTCCTCGAGTTTGCGCATCTCTTTCTCATACTTCTCTTTCTGTTTCTTCTTCTCCCTTTCGTGCTTCTCATTCGCCTTTTGCATGTCCGCATTCGCCTTCTGGCTTTCAGCTTGTAGTCCCGACTCCTGCTTTTCGCGCGCTTGCTCGAGTTTCGCCTTCAGCTGTTCCTTCTTTTCTTCAATCTTTTGTAAGCCCTTGTGATGCGGGCTGTCTTCTGTCAACGGTAGGGACTGTTGCGACGAAGTTGATGGTGTCGGGATTTCTCGGTCGATTGGGAGTCCTTCGCGTGCAGTAGTGAACTGTTCTGCAGATGCGAAAGACTCGCCGGAAGACGACGAGCTGGAGGAGCTATCGGATCTTGTGCGTTGTAAGCTGTATTGGCTGCCAGCCTCCCCAGTCTTGTCCACTATGCTGGTTCCTACTCCGGCACCCATGCCGTTCGCGTCAGTCGCGGAGAATGTCCGCCCAGTGTCGTGCGCTTTGGGCGTCTCCGCGGAGTCGTCTTTGCCTGTCATTCCATCTTCCTCGACGTCGTCGTCTTTGGCACACGCCCAGTCGAGGAATTTGACCGCGTCCTGGACTATGCTGCTAGGCACATTCCGCTCGACCATGAATCGAGGAATACCACCACCAGGATCACTGCGGGTGACCATTATCCACTCGATAGGGTTGGTCTCTGCGTCGCCGTCGCCCATGGGTATCTCCCTGATCATCTCGATCGACTCGTAGAAGCCTCGCACCATGTTGCTTCGCGGCGGCGCATCGGGATGTGAACAGGGTATGGAAACGACCATGAAGTGTCGCGGTGTTGAGTTGGCGACTTTGGAGGCATCGGTAAGACATGTATCCGAGGTGATGAGTAGGGTGATAAACTCTCGCGGTGAGGTTGGGCCAGGGAATTGCGCGGACAGCTGGTAGACTGCGCCTCTGTTAGTCGCTATAGGCGCCTGGAAGTATTCGCTCTCTCATACCTTGCAGTTGACCAACGCCGTCGACTGTCATATCCTCTAGCCGCTGGTCGCCTCCAATGCCTCGTATGTTGCCCTCGCCGGGGCCGCCCTGGACTTCCAGACTCTCTGGGAACTCCCTCTTCATGGCGCGCTTCCACTTCTCGAAACCGAGGCCCTCGTGTACACTCGAGCGCGAAAACCAGGCACCGTGCCTGTCCTTTCCGGCCATCTTGTATACGCTCATGCCTGTAGCGGCGTCATTGTTCCCTAGCTTCACAGGCTTGCCCCATGACTTCTGAAGCTCTTCATGCTCTGGCGCAGGTGGTGGCCGGCGGACTTGGGAAATTGTGAGGTCCTTAGAGCCGGTTGCAGGTTCTTGCTCGGTTCGGGTTCGTTGTGACGACTCGTAAGGGGTTCCATTGGGTGGTGGAGGCACACAGTTCGCGATCACTTCTGCTTTGGCCAGTATTTCGGATAGGAATGTCTGGAGGTTGTCGGTAGGGACGTCGCTGAACTCTTTCGGCCGGAGGCACGCGAGCGCTTCGTGTAGCTCCGACATGATAATGTCTGACGGAAAGATGGGGATTAGAGATATCTGGGGGAGGTAGCAACGAAGGATTCAAAGCCACAGGATACCTAGACCCTTTGTGGCTGCTCCCAAGCTATTTGTGTGCTGTGAATGTTCCGAGGTACCCGTGGTGCCAGCTAGCAGGGTCCGGTGACGGACGATGAAATCATTACCTGCGATTATCGATTCGATTTGCAATGAAGATGGAGCTTGAGAAAGAACTAATAACGAGTAGCAAACTAGAAGAGCTATTTTCCTATGCTGGATTGCGAGGCCTCCAGTCGATGTGGCAGTTGTTTGCATGTGCAGGTATAGTTGATGCAACGTCATCCCTGCACGTCGCTCGCTCTTCCCAATCCACGACGCGTGACGCGGGGTCGCCCGCCGCGCCACCGACGTATCAATCCCTGGCCGCCCTGCATACGAATACGCCGGCAGCCACTACGTCACATATGGCAAAGCTTGCGAAATTGCGACCTTCGCGTTTGCTAGCATTCTGGCCGACACAGCACTCGATGAAACACACCATGCGGATACAATGTAAGAGAAATATTCTATCTATCTAAGACGTGCTGGACACGTAGAGAGGGGTATTTCGCAGGTCTAACTAATGCGGCAAATCAACCTATTCCAAAGCAACAATCTATGAACTACACAAGTACGTACAAAGCACACATCTGCCAAAACGTTAGTGTTCATGGATATACGCCGGAGGTTCATAACTTACCATGCTAAGCCCCAAGATCATGCTGCACCAAAAGAGGACGTTGTTCAACAGAGTGCGGCCTCTAACCCACTTGCTCCGTTGCAACATTACAATCGGCATCTGGAGCATCATCGCAACGAAACCGTAGCCTCTGAACTTCCGTGTAATGCAGCCCATGACAAGCTCATGCGCTAACGCAGAGATGAGGAAGGTGATCGTTGTAGCTAGAGGACGCGACATGTGGTTCTTAGATGCAGAGTAGACGTGTCGTCGGAAGAAATGGTGACTAAATCACAACGCATCCAGTCAGTATATTTTTCCCATGCGACTCGTACAGGTACGTGACTTACACAGGCTTGTTCCATTCGCGCGAGAATTCTAACCAATCGCAGCTGTTCCACCAGTCTGCATAGAATTGACGGTCGGCAAAGCCTGCAACTCTTGTTAGCAGCGGACGCTGGGCTTGGTAGTGGAAACTTACGTGTTATCTCTGCAAAAGCACCCAGAATGTACTCAAAGATGACGAGAAAGACTAGCAGGAAAGTAATCATGAATGGAAATAGCAGTCGACCGATAGTCTCGCTAAGAATCAACGTGAAATCCGTAGCACCCTTGGAATTCTGGAGTCGCACAGCCGATACGTCCAGCACTGGGAGGATGAACTCCTCCGCAGTAATGACCATCAAGAAGATGCATCCGAATACGGCAAGAGTCTTGTAGAAGACCTCCAACCAGCGGATGCTGGTGTTCCTCGGGTACTCAAGCTCATAACACAGGGTTGGGCAGAAGATGAAGTCGACAAAGTTATACAGGGTGAGGTTGTTGGGGTAAGAGACGTTGCCGAGAGGCGAAGCAAGCTCCAATGCGAGATCATCTCTCAGCTGGCCAAGATACTCTGCATTTGCCTTCTTCGGGTCGGGCTCCTCCTGTGAGGGCGATTGCGGGATCTCGTGCAGATGAGTGCTTGAGCTTGGATAGCGCACTGCAGCTACCTTGCTTGCCTTGTCGGGTGTATCAAGATCGTTCAAGCGACGTAGAGTTTCGCTGAGATGACCGTTGTAGAAGCTTCACAAGGTTAGTTATGCAATCGAAGCTCTAGTTACTTGGTGCCATACGCGTAAGAGTGCATCTTCATGAAAATCGCAAGCAGATGCAGAGTGAAGAAGACCTGCGCGGTCCAGCTCCAGTCGCGAATGAAAGGGTATCTTTGCATTGGTCAGTCTAAAGTACAATGTATAACCAGGGTCAGCGTACGTAGTCCAGAAAGCGAGCCAGATTGCCTGAAATATGCTCTGTATAGCTATGCCAGACGTGTTCCAGCGTAGGGACCCCTGTTTGAGAAACAGCCTCTGGAGTGGCAGCGACAGGGCGGTGCTGAACACCATGGCACCGTCGACTAGACCAAGCTCGACAACCTTCTCCTTGAACAGCGCCCACTGTCTCATCTGAAAGGGGTATCCGGTCTCGGTCATGTTGCGTAGCATCGATGTAATGACCATGATGGCAAGTCCGATCCAGAACAGGACGAAGAAGCCGCGGAAGTCATGGTAGTCGCTGTTTGGGTCGAAGTGGGAGACGCGATCCACGTAGTCGATGGTAGGGAATATGCGCTGCTTGTGCTGGGCGCGTATCTGCCTGCGTGCGGACGAGGAGGCCTGGACGGAAGGCGGGGCATCGTCGGGTATGGGTGTGCTTCTTCCACTGCTGAGGTCAGCCATGTATCGCGTCGAGAGAGGTGTTCATGTACCTAGAGATGCCTGAGCCGGGCTCCCGGAGCGTGCCATTCTTGTTAAACGCCTCGTCGCTGAGTTGGGGCTTGAGCAAGTCGATTCTCGTGGGTTTGCGCGGTCGCGGCGAGTGGAGATCGGTGTTGCCGTTATGAGCATTCGCGTCAAAAGACGTAGACTCGGCCATTATGAGGAGACGTGTATGCGCATGTCACGGAGGAGGAGTGGGAAGGAGGATTCAAGTGTGGACAGGCCAGACTATGATCCGCAACTAACAGGGTCACTGGCTGTGTCAGATGGGGCAGTGAGTGGCAGACGAGGCTTCCGGACAACCGCTCGACACAAACAGGTAATGGAGAGGTAATAGGCCTGCATTTGATACGTATATATGCTACAAGGAATATGCAAGTACATGCGGTCTGCTGATGTAGTGGTGGCCTAGCGACTCGGAGAGTTGGCACTGAGGGACGAAGGGTCGGTTACATCAGCGGCCGCGCGAGTCAGTGCGGGCGTCTTGGGAGCAGTGCCAGGAATTGTCGTGTTTCTTGGTACGTAGAGTAACGTGCAAGTACTTATATCTCAGGGTTTGCTTAGGAAGTTACGCCGGAATCTATGCGCATTAAAGATATATAGCCAGCATTCAGGGTAGCGTAGAGTCTAGGCATTCGTACCCGTTGTTGGTGGCAGGTGCGTCCGACCTCTGGACTCTGGAACAAATGACGGCCCGGCCAGCTGTAGGCCATGCCCAAACGTTCCGCCTACCAACGCGCAGCCAGGACATTTCACATAGTCGCCCGTGACCGATCCATACTACCCATCGACGGCCGAATACCCTTCCCATCCTCTGCAGCCTCTTTCCCATCGAACCCTCTTTCGCTGTCCGGGTGGGGTCCAAGAGGCCACCGCAATGGCTTCCTGTACGCCAAGCACCGCGACCCCCAGCAGCTGAGGACTTGTGCTAAGGATATACAGTGAAGCAGTTTATTCGCAACGTGCGCGCTGCAAAGACAATTGCAGACGAGCGTGCGGTTGTGCAGAAAGAGAGTGCCGCCATCCGCGCCAGCTTCAGGGAGGAGAGCCACGACTCCAACGTGAGGAGGAACAATGTCGCAAAGCTACTCTATCTCTTCACTCTGGGTGAGAGGACGCACTTTGGTCAGATCGAATGTCTGAAGCTGCTGGCCTCTCCGCGCTTCGCCGACAAGCGGTTGGGATATCTGGGTACCATGCTGTTACTGGACGAGAACCAGGAAGTCCTGACTCTGGTGACGAACTCGCTGAAGAAGTAGGCAATGATGCACTCTCTGATATGGATCTGCATGCTAAACAATGTGTAGCGACCTCAACCACCCCAACCAGTACATCGTCGGCCTCGCCCTCTGCACGCTCGGCAACATCGCCTCCGTCGAAATGGCTCGAGACCTGTTTCCAGAAGTCGAAACGATAATATCGAGCGCGAACCCATACATACGTCGCAAAGCCGCAATCTGCGCCATGAGGATATGTCGGAAAGTGCCCGACCTCCAGGAACATTTCTTGGAAAAGGCCAAGTTGCTACTACAAGATCGAAACCACGGCGTCTTGCTGTGTGGCGTCACTCTGGTAGAGAACCTCTGCGAGGCGGACGAGGTCGAGGACGACGAGAACGGCGTAAGGGAGATCTTCAGACCCATGGTGCCCAGCCTAGTCAAGATATTGAAGGGACTCTCCTCGTCTGGTTATGCGCCCGAGCACGACGTGACTGGCATCACAGACCCTTTCCTACAATGCAAGCTACTCCAGCTTCTACGAGTCCTGGCTCGTGGCGATGCGCAGGTTAGCGAACAGATCAACGATATCCTAGCCCAGGTCGCAACCAACACAGACTCCTCGAAAAACGTCGGCAACTCCATCCTATACGAGGCGGTACTTACAATCCTAGATATCGAAGCAGATTCTGGACTTCGCGTGCTTGGTGTCAACATCCTAGGAAAGTTCTTGTCAAACCGTGACAACAACATCAGATATGTTGCGCTCAACACACTGATCAAGGTTGTCGCAGTCGAACCAAACGCCGTACAAAGACACCGCAACACCATTTTGGACTGTCTACGGGATCCTGATATTAGTATTAGACGGCGAGCGCTTGACCTCAGCTTTACCTTGATCAACGAGAGCAATGTGCGAGTACTGATAAGGGAGCTCCTTGCTTTCTTGGAAGTCGCTGACAACGAGTTCAAACCTGTCATGACCTCCCAGATCGGTGTCGCAGCAGACCGCTTCGCACCAAACAAGAGGTGGCACGTTGATACGATGCTGCGCGTGCTGAAACTCGTAAGTCAGTCATGTTCTTGTGAGCTGCATGTAACTAATCTACGCATCAGGCTGGAAACTACGTCAAAGAGCAGATTCTATCCTCCTTTGTACGACTGATCGCTACCACACCTGACCTCCAGACCTATTCCGTACAGAAACTCTATGCGGCCTTGAAGGAAGACATCACACAGGAGGGTCTCACACTAGCCGGTTCCTGGGTCATTGGCGAGTACGGTGATGCACTACTTAGAGGTGGTCAGTACGAAGAGGAAGAGCTTGTCAAGGAAGTCAAAGAAAGCGACGTCGTCGATCTCTTCGAAACCATCCTCGGTAGCAGTTACGCCGGTCTCATCGTCCAACAGTACATCGTCACAGCCTCTATGAAATTGACGACACGTTTGAGCGATCCTGCTCAGATTGAGCGTTTACGACGGTTATTACAACGATACGCGGCAAACCTTGACGTTGAGATTCAACAGCGTGCAGCCGAATACGGAAACTTGTTCGGTCACGACCAGATTAGGAGGGGCGTTCTTGAGAAGATGCCACCGCCTGAAATCCGCGAAGAGTCACGAGTTCTGGGCGAAGCGACCAAAAAGCGACAGTCGAAGATTGCGAAGAAGAAGCCTGCGCAAGCAGCGACAGAAGACTTGCTACTGGACCTCATGGGCGATGCAGGCCCGTCGACCAGCATGAATGGGGCGGCCAATGGAACTCAACAGAGCCAGGACTTACTTGCAGACATCATGGGCGGGTCTTCATCACCGCCTCAGACATCCTCCCCGGCGCCACAATCAAACGTGGCCAACATCATGGACCTCTTCAACTCTGGAGCCAGCAGTTCTCCAGCCCCAGCGCAGTCTCACGCGCCGCCGTCAGGAAACTCCATGGACCTTCTGGGCGGACTCGGTGGTATGTCCTCGCCACCACCACAAGCTTCAACACCGTCGGTGGCCTCAGGCCCACCCGCGCATCCAGCATACAGCAAGAACGACCTACAGATCACCTTCCAGCTCAAGCGTGATGCAAACGCCGTGCAACTTCTCGCACGTTTCCGCAATACTGGAAGCTTTGGCCAGCTGTCAGGTGTGAATCTGCAAGCTGCGGTACCAAAGAGCCAAAAGCTGCAGCTGCAACCTATCAGTACCAGTGAACTGGAGGGAGGCCAAGACGCGACCCAGCAAATGAGGGTCACAGCTGTCAATGGGGTAAGTCATTCTCAGATACGTTTTGTATGTATAACTTGCTAACAGACCTAGCCCCCACCCGCAAGGCTAAAGCTCAGACTCAAGATCAGTTACTCGGCAAGTGGTGCTCCAGTGACAGAGCAGGTTGACTGGGCCGAGCCGACATGATGGCAAAGCACACTTTTGGTAGTAAAATCTTCAAGTAGCGAGCAGTATAGAGCAAATGACATACCCGAGCGATGATGACATGCACGACGGACTAGATCCAGCGCAAGACTTTCGTGCGCGCGTAGGTGGCGAACATATCAAGTGCTGGGCGTAGAGGAGGTTCTTTGGTGTTAGTGTATCCTCGAACTGGATCGCAAGATTGCTACGGGGGACGCCTAAGCTTCATGTTTGGAATGCAGAAGCACCAGTCGCCTTCTGCACCTGTCGCAATAACCCGACAGAGGTGGAAATAAGATGCGGGATTAGCGCCTCAAGCCATCCGCGCCCGCTTTTCCGGTAGATCCCCCCGCCATTGCCAGGAACGCGACCTGTTGGGTCGCTTCTCTCTTCTGTACAACTGTTTCTCCACTGCACCAACCATTCCAAAGCGGGACTTCTGCCCATCGAGGAACGATTTGTGTCGAGAGAACATCATTGTGTCACACATCGCGAAGACGGCAGCAGGTGATGCACGACCAGGGATTAACACAGATTCTGGGATCGACATGATAACACGCACCAGCGCCTGCATACTATAAACCTTGCCAGCCACTCACTTTGGTCACTACAGCGGTCACCCTGTCTCGTCATGCGCCCCAAGAAGTTCGGTTCGCATTAGCACGAGGGGATCGCGGGTACCCAGCCTCACAATGCCTGCTGCCAGTATCTGTTTATGCCCGCATAGAGCCACTACCTTCCTTATTCAGCGTTACATGGGACGTTATAATGGTGTCCCGATATTCCCGAAGTCCTGGATCTGGCTGCACAACTTGCAGTAGAGAGGGAACGTGATGCAATTGCCAATAGACGGGTCTTGGTCATTCTCCACTATGAACTGGTGCTTAACCTCCCAGATCTGCTTCTATTACTTAGACACACCCTTCTATCACTTGTTTCAACGTTCACATTCATTGGAGACGGTGAGGATATCTATATCTGAACTTTGTTGGTCTCTCATTAAACTGAGTAGCAACCGGCCCGAACGGTATCCCTGACATTCAACATATTTATACAAGAGACTTTGGGGACCACAAGCGTCTGTGGAAGATCACACGCTTGAACGCAATGCATATCACGTCTCTCACGCTCGGAAGTGGCTTTTTGTCGCTGGTGTCGGCTCTACCATCGAATACACCGGTAGACCTACCGAGGAGGCAGTATGAAACCACCCCACCATCATACGATCCTGTGTCGCCTGATCAGAGAGCGCAAGCCGTGATCGACACTTTCAGAATAAGCTGGGATGGATACCGCCAGTATGCATTCCCGATGGATGAGCTGAGGCCTGTGAGCAACAACGGAAGTAATTCGAGGTGCGTACCCAATATCCATGTTTCAAGGAAGTCTTGCTAACATGATCTCAGGAACGGGTGGGGTGCCTCTGCCGTAGATGCGCTCAGCACAGCACTCATCATGGGCCAGAAAGACATCGTGAACGAGATCATAGAATATATCCCCAGCATCAACTTCGCGTATACTGAGGATCCCGTCTCTCTAT